CACTTTTTTCTATTTTTTTAACTAAAGAAAGAATCTATTTCTACAGAGTGTGAAAAGGCCAGATTACCCTTCACTCCAAACGACTTTCTCATCTAGAATTGGAATGTATGGGGGAGCTACTGGGTACAGCAGAGCAAAGAGATAAGGGCATTTAGAGTCATTTTAACAGCACAATGGCAATGTTCAAACTTGACAGCGAGAGCCTTGGCGGCTTTCGTATTCAGCATTGACCCACCTCTATTTCTCTCCTCCAATTCTTCCTCCTCCTCAGACTCTTGATTTGTTTAATAAATTTCATTTTTTTTATTTGGGTTTCCATGCAATCTTCAGAACAATCATTGATACAACTGGTAAATCCATGATATCAACCTATTTCATTTTTTTTTCTTGACCTTTGCCCCTCCATTTCTCTGCTTCATCTACTCGCCCTGCAAACCGAGATCCAATTCCAGGTGAGTCAACCTCTCAATGCTTTTCCATCAGCATAATTGATTCATCCCCATTTGATTTCTGCTTTGAATCTTTTCTGGGTATTTTTTTATTCTCTCAAAGGGTGAAGTATTTTCAAATTAATGTTGCCCATTTCAAATGATGTGTTGCACATTGAGTCAACTTCTCATTTCTATTCAGTCAGTAAAATTCATTCATACCCAGTTCATTTGATGCTTTGAAACTTTTCTGGGTGTTGTTAGGCTTGGAGTATGCTCAAATTGGTGTTTGCAATTTCAAAATTTCCCTTTAACATTTCTTTGTTTGTTTTAATTTCTGAGATTAACTGTGAATAATGAATATGGTAGGTTCTTATTATGTATAATTGTTCTTTTCAATACATCAATTGTAGTTTTGTGATGCTGGATTTATTAATGTGATGGGTTTAATGTTCTTATCTGTTGCATCTATTAGGTTTTTGTTTGTGTTTTTCAAGGTTGTATGGATTTGTGGTTTTTATTCTAGTACTCTCCACAAACTACATGTATAGCAATGGGGATTTAAATTCACCTTTCTTTGTAAATGCTTTCCAGATTACTATTATTATTATGCATAGTAAACTGTTTCTTCATTGATGCTCTATATAGGTGCTTGGATAGGGCTCCAGCATTGAAAAAGGAACATAGTAGTTCATATAATATCACTTTGATTCTGAGTTTATTGCCGAAGGAGATATTGAGATGGTGTTTTCTATTCAAAAATGGAAATGCTCGTGGTCTCTGGTGTCTTCAATTGCTTCCGTTATTGTTTTGGTTTCTGTAGTTCATCTATTTCTGTTTCCTGTGGTGCCTTCTTTTGATTACTTCAGTACTCGGCAAGTTCAGAACTCTTGTATTCCAATTAATGCATCAATTGAACGTGGAACTCATAATGCTAGGGAAAATATGCAACCAGGTGTTAGTTTAGATCAAAAGTTTCCATCTGATTTGCATAATGCAGTGGTTTATCGTAATGCGCCATGGAAAGCAAATATTGGGCAGTGGCTTTCTGGTTGTGATGTGGTTACTGGGGTAGTAAACATTGTTGAGGCAAGTATAATGAATTTAGTGGTTACTCATTCTTTTTTGCCCCCAAATACACTTTAATTTTCTTAAGTTAACTGGTAACTTTTCCCAATTATTGTCTTTACCTTTTTCATTTTTCTTTTTTTATTTAATTCTTTTGGCAGACAGTAGGTGGCAGGGGCTGCGAGAATGACTGTAGTGGTCAAGGTGTTTGTAATCATGAATTGGGACAATGTCGGTGCTTTCATGGGTTTAGTGGTTAGTTTTTCAGTATCTCTCCCCTTCTTCCTGTTGCAGTTCTTTAAGCAGCTACATGGAGAATGAAGCCTATTTGAGTGCTACTATAAACTATTATTTGTCAAAAAGATCATAATGATTTTGACAAACAAAAGATTGTGGGAAGGTTTTAGCATGGAATTTAAAAGGGTTGCTATACTAGTATGTCATTCCTATTTTCTACTGTTATGAATATAAAGTTTCCTCATCCAGTTGGTCTTTCTTTTAGCTCACAAAAAATTGAATATATTTGGTACCCAAATGCTTGAAGCTATTTATCTAAGCTTCTTTAGGATGAAGTTTGAAATCTGAACAATGCTAGATCTTAGTGACATTTTCACAATTTTGTGGTTCAAGAAATGGTCATTGTTAGAAGTTGCTAATAGGTTTATATATATATATATATATATATATATAGGTATCAACATTTAATTAGGTAGATTTCTGAATTTTGAATTGGATTTTATTTAAATGAAAGTCCAAATAATTAAGGTTGGGACTCCAATTTTGTTTGGGAGTCAGGGTTGATATGCACTTTTCCTATATATATAAAGTTAGGATCCACTTACAAAAGTCTTACACACTACATTTACACAAAATCTTGACCATTCTTGACCATTCATCTCTCCACCTTTAATGGTTGAGATTTATTTATTTTTTGCCATATTTATTAAAGATAATTATCTTTTTCATCTAAAAAATTGTGATAAATCTCAACCATTAAAAGTGAAGAGGTGAATGATCAAGATTTTGTTTAAGTGTGGTGTGTAAGAATTGTGTGTAAGTGGATCCCTACTCATATATATATATGTATGTATTTGTATGTATGTATTTATGTATCATAATAATTGGCTATTATAATCATGGTGGTTGCCAAAGTAACACATACTGATGGATTGAATAGGGGAAGATTGCTCTGAGAGGTTGCACTTGAGTTGCAATTACCCAGCAACACCAGAGCAACCCTATGGGCGTTGGGTTGTCTCAATCTGTTCTGCCTATTGTGACACTACAAGAGCTATGTGCTTTTGTGGAGAAGGCACAAAATACCCAAATCGCCCTGTGGCAGAGTCATGTGGGTTTCAAATCAAGTAAGCTTACTTGGACTCCTAACTTATGCTTCTTAGAATGTGTCTTCTACTTCCTGAACATTGTGAGTCATGCTTCTTAATTTTGTGTCTGTTCCAGTCTGCCTTCTGAACCTGGCGCTCCCAAACTGACTAATTGGTCAAAAGCTGACCGGGAGAATATATTCACAACAAATGGTAGCAAACCTGGATGGTGTAATGTAGACCCTGCTGATGCATATGCTTCCAAGGTGCAATTCAAAGAGGAGTGTGACTGCAAATATGATGGTCTCTGGGGACATTTCTGTGAAGTGCCTGTGCAATCTATATGTATAAATCAATGCTCCAGACATGGGCATTGCCGTGGTGGATTTTGTCAGGTAATCATACATTACTTCTGTAGGTCTGACATATTGGTTATGGTACTTGTTTTGCTAAAAGGGTAAAATGTGGCAAAAAGAAAGTGTCAAACTCCCTCTTTCCCCATCTAAGTTATACAGAAAGCTGGCTTACAATCAAATCAATTTCGTATATGCAGTGCAGTGATGGATGGTATGGAATGGACTGCAGTATTCCTTCTGTTAGGTCACCATTAGGGGAGTGGCCTAAGTGGCTTCGACCTGCTGAGGTTGATATTCCTAATGATGCACTTACAGGGAGTTTTGTCAACCTCAATGCTGTAGTGAAAAGGAAAAGGCCCCTTATATATGTTTATGATTTACCGCCGAACTTCAACAGTTTACTTCTTGAGGTCAGAAGCTGCATTGTTGTTGTTCCTGTATTCCTTTGTACATTTCAAGAGAAAACTAAAATTCGTTAGTGGATTGGTCATTTGTAGGGACGGCACTTCAAGTTTGAGTGTGTAAATAGAATCTATGATGATAGGAATGTGACAATATGGACTGATCAGTTGTATGGCTCCCAGGTATTCAATTGAACAGAACTGTCAGCAAATACTTTACAACTTTAAGAATTGATTAGAAAAAATATAGTATTTTGATGTTATAAATTCCAGATGGCACTCTATGAAAGTATTTTAGCAAGTCCTCATCGAACGTTAAATGGTGAAGAAGCAGACTTTTTCTTCGTTCCTGTTCTGGATTCATGCATCATAACCCGTGCTGATGATGCACCTCACCTTAGTATGAAGGTACCCTTTATAAAGTTGTTATTCAATTTCTTTATCTTTTCTTTTCAGAAAGGGAACTCTAGAAGATGGTTCATCAAAATCAGAATATCTTTTCTTTTCAACACTTTAGACGTTCATTTTTTATTAAGCTATGTGTGTGTGTGTGTGTGTGTGTGTGTGTATTTGACAATTTTATTGAGCTCTATTAATGCAATGGGTTAGCTGTCCATCCATGCATGCAACAGAAAGGCATTGGTATTTTCTTATACAAGGATTTGTATGCATGGGGCTTTAGTTATTTATATATTTGGATGGAAGTTTTATCTGAATGGTACTCTCTGACATCAGGAGCATATGGGATTGAGGAGCTTTCTGACTTTGGAATTCTATAGGAAGGCATATGATCACATTGTTGAGAAATATCCTTACTGGAATCGCTCATCAGGACGAGACCATATTTGGGTATAATGTTAAGAAGTTCATTTGATGCTGATCTAGAAAACTGAAAAAACAATACCATATCTGTTTTCCTCAAAAGATTTTCACCAATTATATGCTAATCATCTCACCATTGTATCTGAAAGCAGTTTTTTTCATGGGATGAAGGTGCTTGCTATGCGCCTAAGGAGATATGGAATAGCACGATGTTGGTTCACTGGGGTAATACAAATTCAAAGCATAACCATTCAACAACAGCTTATTGGCCTGACAATTGGAATGACATTTCTTCTGATAAAAGAGGCAACCATCCTTGTTTCGACCCTCATAAAGACCTTGTGCTTCCTGCATGGAAACATCCTGATAACTATGCACTGAACAAGAAACTTTGGTCTACGTACGTCTTATTGGTTAATTGTTTAATTCTCTTACCTTCTTTATTGATTGAACAAATATAAACATATCCTTCTATTGTCAGGCCTCGTGAGATGCGGAAGAAACTATTTTATTTCAATGGAAACCTTGGACCAGCTTATACAAATGGAAGACCAGAAGATTCGTAAGTTCACTAAATAGCTATTTTTCACCTGATATGGACAACATGCTTTGCAATATATCTTAAAAAAGGCCATCTGAATATGTTTGACAAATGATTTTTTGAGAAACCTAATTATTCCACATTCTTACCACATGCTTAGCAAAAATGTTAAATTGATTTTACATTGTCCATTTTTAATGCATAAGTTCCAGTTTTTAAGTAGATACTATACTGAAAATCTTTAATCTATTTTGATTCTCAAAAAAATTTATGTAGTTATATACTGATATTCACATTCAGGTATAGTATGGGTATCAGACAAAAACTTGCAGAAGAGTTTGGATCCAGCCCTAACAAGGAGGGAAAACTTGGAAAGCAACATTCAGAAGATGTCATTGTGACACCTCTACGTTCTGGAAATTATCATGAGGATTTGGCCAGTTCTGTTTTCTGTGGGGTCCTGCCTGGAGATGGTTGGAGTGGCCGGATGGAAGATAGTGTTCTACAAGGGTGCATTCCTGTAATTATTCAGGTAGTGTGATTATGGAAGTTTGTTATTAGCCAACTGTTGCTTAATGGCTTATGCCTTAGAGAAGTAGTTTATATAAATCAAACAGTCCATATTATATAGGCCAAACTCCCTTATTTGCACGCTGCATTTTTTTTTTCTTGGTCGACACCCTCAAGAATTTTTACTCCTGGTCAACATGCTTGTAATTTAAATCTCTTAAAAATTCCAAAAATTAACAATCAAATCTCCTATTTGCATACTAACTTTGTTAGTAATTTGGGGTTTTTTTTTTGTGGGTTTCAAATTATGAAGAGGGTTGACCAAGAGTGAAAATTATGGAGGGTGTTAATGGTGGAAAAAAATAATGTATAGGGTACAAATAAGGGGTTTGGCCAATTATATATAGGAAATTCCTTCACTTATTTGTGATTTCTTTTTATTTCGTAATGTTAAGGATGGAATCTTCTTGCCCTACGAGAATGTGCTCAACTATGATAGCTTTGCTGTTAGAATACGTGAAGATGACATCCCAAATTTGATAAAGATTCTTCGGGTAATTGTCTTTTTGTCTTTAGAAATTACAAGTTTCTTATAAATGCATGAGTACTCATGAAGTAGAAGCAAGCAGCTGACTGAATGGTGACCTTAACATTCATTCTGCAGGGATTTAATGAGACTGAAATAGATTTCAAGTTGAGAAATGTGCAGAAAATCTGGCAGCGGTTCTTGTATCGTGACTCTATTTTGTTAGAAGCTGAGAGGCAAAAAACTGTTTTTGGCCATGTAGATGATTGGGCAGTTCAATTCTTGCAATTAACTGAAGATGATGTCTTCTCCACATTTTTACAGGTATACTTCCTTCCACCTCTGCTGAACATGAACTTTTTTCATTCCAAATTTATATGCACAAAACACTGAAAATTTTATGTATATGGAGATACGTATATGTATGCATGCATGCATGTTTGTCGTACTGACTTTCAATTATTGCCATAACAAGGTTTTGCACTTCAAGTTACATAATGATCCATGGAGGCGACAGCTTGTTAATGTGAAGAAAGAATATGGATTATCACAAGAATGTCTGATAAAATCCGAGTAAATTGCATGCTGCCTCAGAGATTGCTGAAGTTCAACAAGAGGCAAAAGACAGCATTGATGCATATGCCTTTTCACTTTGGATATTAAAAAGAAGCTACAGCTACAGCTTAGATGCATAACCGTGTAGCAAGCTAGATGTATTCAAACCAAGCATTTGTGGGAAAAGAATAAAATTTTT